AAAACTACCTAACATTAATCCGATACCTGACGGAATAAATAATATACCAATTGTTGAAGGGGTGAAACCATATTTTTTAGGAAAATTCTTTGGAACAACCAAAAGTTGAATTTGGACAAATGTATAAACTATGCTTATGTAGAGAATTGAAATTGTTACGTTTGGGTAACGTAATAATTTAAAGGGTAGGAACGGGTTAAATCTTTTCTTTGGTGGAGATGATTTTATTTCTTTAGTTTCAGGTTCTTCAGCATCAGGTTCTTTCGATTCATTTGAATTATTACTATTAAATGTTTCGAGCACAAATAAAAGTATTGCTATGTAAACAATTCCAGACATTATTGTTAAATACCAAAATATGGATCTCCATCCAAAATATTCTGTAAAATAACCACCAAATAATGGTCCAAGTAAAATAGAAAAGGTGTATATAAAATAAAAATATCCATAAGCTGATCCACGTTCTAATTTTTTAAAAGAATAAATTAAACATACAAATAAAAAGAATAAAACTCTTTAGGTTAATTTTAAAGAATTCAATAATTACCGGTCAATTCATACATGTCAGCAATAACGCCACTTCCAATTGCAACCAATGATGACGTTCCACATGCCTGTATAGCACGACCGACCATCAGTAACCACATATTTGGAGTAACAGCACAAATAACGCATGAAATCAGAACTAATGGCATGCATATTAGATAAACTCTACGTCTAGTTTCAAATGTATCAGAGAAGGCGGCCCAACCGATTTGCTATTTTTAAATAAAAACAACCATTACTTTAGCAAATTGATTTAACCAAAAGTTTAAGTTTTAATACATAAGAAAAAACTTACACCAAATCCCATAAAAAATATAAATATAGAGGCTATTACAAAATATTTGAATTATGATTGAATTATGATTGAATTATGATTAAATAGCTCAAATTAAACCACAGCATATTTGATAAAAGTCTTACCTAAGACATTTACAAAGATTTCGGGGGCTTGAAAGTCTGAACATATCTGTACAAGTGCTGGATATAGGATGCTGATAATGATAATCGACTAGATTAAAAAGAGAGGGAAACAAAAGAGAAAAAAAATAAATCTAAACCTACGTATCCGCCATTGGGGATATCATGGCTGCGATAGAGACAATTAAGAGAATTAATCTCTTCCTCCAGATCGATAAATGTTTGGAAATGTTATTGTCGAATTTAATGGTATCTTCGGTGTCGCTATTAGTGATGTTAATGGTGTTAATGGTGTTAATGGTGTTAGAATCGGATAATTCATTTTCTGTATGCAAAGGGGAATTGTTTGGATTATCAACTTCGACAATAGTTGTCGAACTGACATTATTACGTTCGATGTCACTGAAATTTTCAAAATC